CTCTCTCTCTCTCTCTACAATGACAGTCCCAGTCTTTTTCCCTTGTTATTCTTTGGGTGGGAACTGAATTCAGGGCCTCATGCTGGCCAAGGCAACAATTTTACCCCTTGAGCCACACCCCCGGCCCTTTTGTGTTTTAGTTTGCCTCAGAGAGAGTCCTGCAGATACACTTCACCTGCAAAACATCTGACCCCCAAGCAGGCTGGATTCTAGCCGTGAACCTCAGTGATGCTCAGCTTGAGAGGGGGGCTCCCTCACCTTGACCCAGGCTGCCCTTCCTCTCAGCACATCCCCAGTGGCTGGGATTATAGGCATGTGTCACCTTGCCCCTTGTCATTTTTTTTTTACGTTGTATACAGGCCTCTCAAGAGAGCAATGCCCAGAGATAGAGGTAGAGATGGCTGGTCTCTATATGCCTGCTCCAGAAACTAGCTCAGATCTGTCTATCCCATTCTGTGATGAGAGAAAGCACAAGGCCTGGAGTGAAGCCTGGTGGAGCAGCCCTCCTCCCTCCCGTGAGGACTGCAGAGGGGTGCCAGCTGCTCTTACAGGTGCCATGCTGACATGCAGGCCGGACCAGCTCACAGCTTGAGAAGCAGCCTTGGGGATGGGGGTCCCGCGTCGGTGGCAAAGTCCCTCATGCCCCTCATCTTTGTGAATTGCTCACAGATCTCACCCCAGCCAATAGATGGGAAGAACATATAACCGACTCGTACCATCCACCATGTTCACCCCTCCCAGGCTGTCCCAGGAATACAGAGGGACAGGGGAGCTTGGCACTCAGCATTGGGCGGGACAGTATCCTGGGCTCACAGACCCCAAATGTACAGATGAGCAGGGACTAAGCGAAGGTGCCAGACTGCCCACCCAGGCTCCCCTCGCCTAATTAGAAAGAGCCATTTCGACATCTTAGCAGAAAATGGAGTTTTTTCTTTTCCTGGATGTTGTGATTTGACTGGGAGTTAGCAAAGCAGCCACAGAATCCTAAGTGTCTACTTCGAAAATAAAATAAAAAATCAAGCCTCGGTCTAGATCTGGCACAGGGCTTCCCAGCTCGCCCTGTGGAGGGACGTAAAGGGCTTCCATGTGTGAGCGCCCGCCTGCACATGAAGACGGCTTCACCATCCTCTGGTAATGTTCTGGAGGCGCCACGCGGTCTATCCATCCCAGTTAACAGTTCCTGTCTTTTAACCACTTCCATGGGGAAGAGCCACAGGGAACAAGCCGAACACTTAGCTGAGAAAACCTAGGAAGCAGGACACACCTCCGGGCAGGTGCATGCCAGTTACAGACTCAAGAATTGCAACTTCACAGAAAAGCTTCAGGCACGGCTTGATCCAGGCGTTTGTTTCTCTGTCATGTCCTTCAACTCTGATTTACTTCCATATGTTCTTCTGGCTACTCTTCCCACCCCACTATGAGAGTGACTAGGGTATAGTGACTAAGTACAAGCACACGCACATGCACACACACACACACACGTGCACACAGTTTTTCTCTTAGAAGTTTATACAAAAGAGAAAGCATCCCACAAACAGCTCATAGCTCAGCTCCTCGGCCCAAAGTCTCCTGCCTCTCCGCACCAAGGCAGAAACAGAGTCTGGCTGCAGAGAGGATGTGCTTTGCTGTCTGGAGCAGAGTAAAAGACTTCGATTCTTTCAGGAGCCAGCCTCTTAGCTGTGCAAGTCACCCAGAGCAGTTGGTGACCTAGATCGGGGTAAAGCAGTGTGTCTAGGGTTTCCAGGAGAAGAATCGAGCGGTGGGGGCGGGGAAAAGGGGGCGGGAGGACTCCATGAGGCTCCTAGACAGCCCTCACCTCCCCTGCCCTCCCCACAGCGAGCTGGGCCTCCCAGCAGAGGGCGACCAGCCTCTGCCCTGCGTCACCTCCCAGGGAAGGGGAAGCAGGAGCGATGTTTCTCTGATCTGCTGTCCCAGCATCCTTCGGGTGGTGTGTGGGTTCAGTTCAAGGGCACAGCAATTTATTCACCTGGATGCAGAATTCCCCGGCACCTGTGATCAAAGGGAGGCAGGCTCCGGCAGTAACCACGCCAGCCCATGGCTGGAGCCCTCACCTGAGCCAGGCGCTATTCTCACCCTTGACCTGGATTCATTTATTCCGCACACCTACCCACCCCTGGAGGCAGGTGTAGACCTAGGCCTAATTGACAGAGGATGGACACGTGGACAGAGCCTGCTGGGTAGCTGGACAGCTGGAATTCAGTGCAAGGTCCATGGTGTGGGCAGGTCCTTGTTTCCATTGGCAGACGCTGAGCAGGGGGAGGTGGAGGTGCCCTGCGGGTGCCGCTGCCTCCCCCTCCTCCTCCCCCTCTTCCTCCCCCTCCCCCTCCTCCTCCTCCTCCTCCATCCTTCCTGCATCTGAACAGTGAATTCCTCCCTGAATTTTATTGTCTCTGTGGCCATTCCTGTAGCTAGCTAATGAGCCAGGACCCAAACTACAGGGGCCTGGGGCCATGAGTCCAAATATTCAACCTTTGATGGACATTGAACCAATGCTAGGATGGGCTAGGCTAGGTCTATAGTCACTACTATGTGTCCTTGGGTAAGTCATTCATTCATTTATTCATTCATGCATGCACTCATTCATGCATTTATTGAGGTGCAGACTGGACACCTGCTGGATGTCAAGCCCGCTCTAATAAACCCTGAGAATAACCCTGCAAGGATGGAGGACCATAATGGCTCCAGGAGGAATTGATCAAAGATGGATTCCCTCATTCCCCCTGGGGTACAGAGATACCAGTGTTTTCAGGGGCTTCTCTACATTGGAAAGCGATTGGACCCGAGGATTTCCATCAAGTCAGCCTTGGGTCACAGAGTCCACTCTGAGACTAGGACCAGGATATGTTCCCTCTCCCAGAGAGTGAATGGGACCATGTGAGTGCAGACATGGGCCCCATAGCCCCAGCCAGCTCCTGCCCTGAGCTGCCTTCTCCAGGCGAGAGTCAGGTAAGCAGGGCAGGAAGCATTCATTAAGCAACAGAAATCCATCCATTTATGCAGGCATCCTAGAGAAATCAGCACAGTCATGTTAAAAGCCACTCACCTGAGAATACCCTTCAGTCCTTTCCTCACCCAGCCAAGCTCTACCCATGACCTTGAAGAGGTCCCTTATCTTGCTGCCAGGGAAATCTATGCTCAATTAAACAAGCTGATTTCCTCTTGCACTTTTCACGTTTGCTGTCTTAAATAAGCTCCGGCCGGACCTGCAGGAGGAGACACAGTACTCTCGCCTGTGTTTTTCATCAGACTAAACATTGTTTCCCCACGGCATACACTTCAGGGCTTATTAAATCAACAAAACCTCAGTGCTCCCCAAATGAACTCCCGATGATGCGATAATAGCAATTACCTTGGAGAATTCCAATTGGTGCAAATCACCAGGAAATGTCAACAGCAGCAAGCATCCAGGCTAAAACAGCCCCACAGATAATTTGATGGTTTATCACCCCAGAAGGTAAAAATGCCAATAGGGCTGAGTGGCCCATGGAAAACTGTTGACAATAGAAAATCGTTTTCCTCACCTCAGCCAGAGCAAGTCCCCGGTAACGTTGAGCATCTCTGTGTGGTAGACTCTTCCTCTCCCTCTAGCCATCTGTAGCTTGGGTAAAGGAAAACAGAGGTGGCCTTACTATCTGCAGGGTCTGTACCCAAAGATTCAACCAGGCCTCAGATAGAAAATATCTGAAAACAAAACAAAAAATACACCTTGCATCTGAACAGAGAATGCACAGGTTGTATTCTCTTGTCATTATTTCCCAAACAACTGTTTGTGGAGAATAAAGCCAGTGAGA